ACATACATACATACATGCATACAATCTGGGATGGTGTCGTAATTCGCCTGCTCGAAGTCATCGGATGACGCATTCTGTTTTGGTTTGCCGTCGCCAGTTTCCACGAACTTAATTTTGATTGAAAGTTTTTCGTTATGTTGCGCAAGACAGGCGAAACTAACAATGCACCAACCTAGACTACACTGGCTATGAGGACAACGCCTGATGCACCCATGCGGTGGTGCTGATCACAGATCTGCTCTCTACAAAGAAGCATTCAAAGCACCTGTTACAGCTCTGGCACCCTTGTCCTCATCCTCACCCACGTCATTGATCATGACAATCATCGCAAGAATACTGCAACATCATCACCATCATCATCGACATCGTCGTCATCCTCGTCGTCCTCGTCGTCATCGCCAGTATCATCATATCATCATCATCATCATCATCATCATCATCATCCTTGCCATCCTACCTTTCTTCCGCATCATCCTCTTCATCTCCATCGTCCGCCTATTCATCGGTCGTGGTTATGACCATCAGCATCATCTCGACCAGGATGATTTTCCTGCTCATCCTGACAAAAGTTAGAAGAACTGCTTCTTCCGCACATCGGCTGTTACGATACAGCCGGGTATGTTGATCGGTTGGGCCGCCAACGACACGCAGGATGAGGACTCACGGAAGGTGACTAAAACTTTTGCGAGCTTCACTGGCAAGTCTCTGCGAAACAACGTGCAAGAACCAGCTGGATCGGCACAAGTTCGTCGTCCGCAAAGCCGGGTCACGTGACTTACGATGCAGCGCAACTTGTAGGGTGTGTTTCGGGTTTAGGGCATCAGGGTTTTCAGTTGCGTTGATGGTTTAGGGCCAAAGTTTAGGGTTTGTGTAGGGTTTAAGTGTGGGGTGTGTTTAGGGGTTAGGGATTTAGGGTTTGTCTAGGGTTTAGGGCTTGTTGAGGGTTTAGGATTTCTGTAAGGTTAGGGTAGGTTGAGGGTTGAGGCGGTTGAGGCGGTTGAGGTGTTGTTTGGGGTTTAGAGTTTAGGGTTTGTTCAGGGTTTTACACCGATCGCTCCTCCGCTTTCCTCTCCGACACTCCCGGTCCTCGGCATCCTCGTTGTCCCTCCTGCTCGCCAGCAGCCTTTGCGCCGTCACCATAAGTAGAAATCCCACACGGGCAGTTTCTCTGCCAGGCCGGGAAGCTGAAGGCGATGCAGTTTGCTATGTCGACGCTCAAGTTTGGTGTCGGAGCTCGGAGGGTTCCTATCGAAATCACAGAGTCGAGGGGCATCGGCCCAAGCCAGAGCAACCTGAGCTATCAAAGCCCCACTGAGAACCGGCGAAGACTCTGGCTTGCGGAGACAGTGCGCAGCTGAGATTTACGTTTTGCTTCAGTTTGTGAGTGTGACGGGTGACTGACACTGTTGCAGGTGGCAACGATGAGCTGATGTTTAGGAATTCTGGTGGCCGCGGGGCCGGGGCCCTATTTGGGAAGATAGCGCCGGGGAAAGACATGCCGTGGTGTGTCCATTTTCCAGGTGATGGTGGCCAATGCTCTGCCAGAGCTGGTGGAGGTGAAAATTGAAACGTGGCGGCTGAAAAGTTCATGGGCTTGACAAAGTCGCTGCAGGCTATGACCGCAGCCGCAGACCCCCCCACAAAGGAATTGAGGAGAGGAGCCGAGTACCTTTGGCAAGATTGCTGGTCAACTTGGTGTCAGAACCTCCGACTGATCTGCTTCCGCCAGGTTTAAGACTTGCCACGGAAGCACCATGCTGTTCGCAGGACGCGAGGCTTGCTTCCCTTTTCAGTCGCCGACAAAACACTCCGTTAGGTCTCGACTCGCCTGCAGGTCGCTGGGGGCATTGTGGAAGCTCTCCAGTACTTCTTTCCCTGATGAAAGTCGAGGGAGAGGGGCCTCCCCAGCCATGGCAACCTGAGCATGATGTCCATGTTCACTGATATGTTCTTTGATGACTTGCCGAAGCTGGGAGAGGTCCAGATAGATTTACATAGTGTTGCCGCTTCTGTCGTTTCCGGCAAAGGCGACGCGTCAGAAAAAGGATTCGAGTTACGAGCCCAAGGCTACCTAGGTGCGTGGCTTTCCCAAACAGGTGCTTCCAACATGAGCGACGGCCGGAGCCTCAGAAAGGGCACTCGCGGCAAAGGAGCTGTTTTTTTAGCACTCTGTTACGTGGTTCTCAGGCATCGCCGGAGCCCAAAGGCCCCGCCAGGGATTCTTCCAGTTCTTCCGGCACTTGAGTGGTGCAAGTCTGAATCTCTGTGCCGTCCCAGGAAGAAGGGGAGAAGAGGAACTGGAGCAGGCACGGCTTCTCTGGCATCTCGGCGGCACTTTCTCTGCCTTAAAGCAAAGAGGACCAACGACTGGAGGCCGGGGCGGTGCAGGACCACTTGCAGCGCTTGCGAACTTGGCCTGTTGCGGCTGGCGCAGTGCAGGAGCGGGGGCGAAAGGTGGCATCAAGGCTCTAAGTGCTTCAAAAAGCTGAGGTGGCCAGCATCTCATGGCATGAGTCATGAGTGCCCTTCGCAGGGTGGATCCGGCTGAGTGCTGATTGTGCATCTGGCAGATCTCACTCGAATTGAATGTCTTAGAATTCTTCCAATCTGTCCATACTGCCGACACGGGCGGAGGCAGAGCCTTGACGGCTGAAATTTCAACACAGCTTAAGCGGCACGGATAGAACCACTTCGTCATGACGTCATGCTTGGAAACTGTGAAGGTTTGTGATCAAGCGCAGCGGTCGGCGGGGTGCACTGGCTCATACGGTGGCTTCTTATCATTGTAGGCATTTTCGAGATGGAATGAGCGTCGTGCAGCCTTGTCATCAACCTGCTACAGCAGCAGTTGAGGTACATTAGATATTGATAGAGCTGTGATGCGGTGCAGCAGGCCTCTGCCAGGCGACATGGTTCAGCCTGTATTCGCGCCAGATCTTTAGGAAGATGAGCTCAGTTTTGGTGAGACATATCTAAGAGGGATCGAGACTGGCAAGAGCTGTGCAAACGGCATGTTGCGAAAACGCATGACAGCGCACCCGACGGGAGCATACCTGTGCACGTCGCCGATTGTCCTGTTGTGATCTACTCGCATCTGTAACGTTTGCTCGGGTGTCAGAGGCTTGACATGCACTGGTACACCTCCCGAAGTAGGGCCATGTTTCAATGAACTGTAGGAAAGCATGGCACGGGCCGGTCCCCACCTGTCCTTTTGACTCTGCAAGGCTAGCAAGGTACGTGAGGGATAGGCAGTTGTTGGGAGCTCATCAGTCTAAAGCTCACCTTGCAACCATGCAGGTCCCAACCCAAGACCTTGTGCAGGTAGCCTGTTCGAGGTTTGCATGAGTGTGCTCGGCAACGCACACTGCTAGTCTGAAGCACTCAATTGTGGCGTTGCACACAGAGTGCAGAGCGGGTGTGGCGCTGAATGGCTTGACATCTTGTGATATATGCATATATACACATACATATATATATATATATATGCACACATACCTGTTATACATATATATATATAAATCTATGTCTAGATCTCTCTCTCTCTGCATATCCAGCACATTTCTCGAGTTAGACACTTGGCTCTTTTGTGTTGATCTACGCCTTGTGGTCCTGGAAAAAACGGTAGAATACCGTTCCTGCGCGGCGCGACCCTGCGGCGACTTTCAAGCCACTCTGCTCAGGGAAGCCTCCTAGGGGCGGCCCTGTCCTTTCGGCCCCGCCGCGCCGCTGCGGAGCCTGCGGAGCCCAGCCAGGATCCTCAGTTTCTTCAGGTTCTGTGGCGATAGAGACAGTGACCAGCACCAAAAGGTCTCCCCATCAAGGAACTGCGAAGTAAGAACTGTCTTTGCACTGTTCACTGAGGCCTCGGGCTCGCCTGGATTGGGCCCCCCCCCCACGGCTGGAGGGCTCCACGAAAATTTTTGTCTCAGAGCCCAGGGGTCGGATAGCTTGCGATTTCTGAGTGCGACGAGTGCGACTTCGTGATCCGCGGGCCATTGAGCCACGTCGACTCCAGCAGTCGCAAAACAGAACTTCCTATCTTGCCTGGTGCAAGCAAACATGATCAGAGCTTGCGAAGGCCGACGATGACCGCTGGCAGCGTTGGGCTCTAGGAAGGTATACCAGGTAGACCTCTTGTGGACGTTCCGAAGCATGTGGACAGGACTGTGACAGATTTCGGAAAGTCTACAGCCCCCTCCATCCCATGATCTACCACCTGCTTCCTCCTTACAGTTTTTAGCTGAAATCCACAAGATCATGGCTGCAAACTGTAATGGCAACGCTTCTCAGTCCTCTGCACCCAAGCCTGTTTGCAAGTGTAGGGTGCTGGCATAGCAGCTGTTTTCATGGGTGATGGGTCTGATGGGTATGGGTGTGCTGCAGCACCGTCATGCCATCATCCCAGCGAGCCTCGCTGGAATCGGAGTTCTCGCCGTGTTCGTCCGGCGGCGGTACCAGCGCTGCGCAGCAATGGAGGCTGAGTGCGAGGAGTTTCTTCTGGGCACTCAGCTTGGCTCTCAGCTGGGGTCCGCGGAGGCCTGGTGCCTAGTTGATGTTCTTGGTCTGATCGTGAAGGATCTCGGCTTGGAAGCTGCCTGCCGCTGTCGGCTGCTTTGCAAAGGTGCCCTCTTTTCAGCTGGCCTTGGGCCGAAAGGAATGCAGCTGGCAGCCGAAGACACTGCTTGGATAGAGACGCAGCGTGAGGAGAGCAAGATCGCTGTCAGCTTGGCTGCACTTGCAACCGGCAACAGCGGCATGGGCAGATCTGCAGCATCGGAAGTCGCCAGAGCCGTGGCCTTCTCCACGTTCACGAAGTCCAAGTCTCTGGATCTGTGGTCGCCAGACACGATGGGACGTCCGCCCTTGGTTGCTGCAGCTTGTTGCAGCCGGCAGAATGGCTGGGGTAGTTCATTGCTTACAGCACTTCTCGAAGCACGCGCTCAGCCGGAGGCTTCCAGTCCGGACGGATGGAATGCGCTGATGTGGGCCTCCCAGCTGGGGAACCATGAAGACTGCCAGGTGCTGTTGAAGGCCCGGGCTTGCCCAAACGCGGTCTCAGCCGATGGCACCTCCCCTCTGCTTTGTGCTGTGCGTGCGGACCGTCAGCCTTTAGTCATCGTGAAGCTGTTGCTCTCCTACCGAGCAGATCCGGCCCTTGTTCCCATGCAAAGCCCCTTCGATGAGTACGTCGACATGGACGTTCGCCAAGCCCTGGCTAGCGCACCTCATCGCCGCTAGTAGACGTCCTCACAAAATAGTCTCCTTCGCAGCATCAAGGCTTCCCTGCAGCTATTTTCCATCCTTTGCTTGCAGCGGGTGTCTTGTGCAAGCTGCAGCAGAAGCAAAAGCCTGAGGCCTTCAGCGGTGAGGTTTCAAAACTGGCAGTAGAATTCTCTCTCTGCATCTGCGGCTCCGCCGAGAGGAGGTTTGCAGTTTCATGCGGCTTGAGAGGTCTAGGTTCTGCAGTTCCCCTGGCGACCGCACGGGCTCCAGTAGACCTGGATAGTCCACTTTGCCGAGCGGAAGTCCTTGTCAGGCTTTCGCATGGTCTGGACCCTATACAGGCCCCACAGCATGTGAAGAAAGCCTACAAGACTCCTCAGGCAACAAAAAAGAAGGGCGCAGCTCAAAGCGCGCACAAGGATCAGGCCAGCTTGGAGTGGTGGCCTCCTCTGCGGTGCCTTGTATTCTGTTGCAAGGTGTCTGATGCAGAGCTTCAGCGCATCGCTGCTGCCATTGAGGCATGGCTATTTAGGTCTGATGGAACTGACCATGTCTTTGGCAGAGGAAGTTGCGCAGAACTTCCCGCCCAACATCCGGAACACGGTGAGGTGGGACTAGCTGAAACACTGTTGTTGCTCAGAGCTTCTTGAAAATTCTTCTGGCTGTGGCAGGCAGGCAGCCCCATATCTTGCAAAGGCATGGATTTTCCTGCTGTGGCTTGACAGCAATGATTGTCGAAAGGCAACATCTAGGATCCAATCCAGCTTTCGATCAGGACTGCATTGCCGTACGTCGTGAAGGCCATCAGAGAGATCCAGGCGGTTCAGCCAACAGATGGAGAAAGTTGGCCAGCCATGCAAAGCTTTCCAATTTCACAGAACCTGATCGGAATGATGCCGGAAAAGATGCTCTGGGCCATCCTCAGCCGGCTCCTCGTTTCCGGGAGTGGCTTGGCAAGACGTGGACTTTCAGAGGCTTCTTGGTCTGTTTCTTCGGCGGAATCTTCCCCGCAACGATTGCAGCCGCAGAGGCGCCAAAGTAGAGGCTCCCACCTCCCGCAGCCCAGCCGAGACGACTCCCTTTCGCAGGCCTGGGCCGCCTGTGGGGGCATCGAAGCCTGGATCCAAGCGCTGCTCTTTCAAAGCCTTCTTAGAACCTCAAGCTCGAATCGACATGAATCGCAGGCTCGCCCCTGCCCTGGTTCTAAGATTTTCGTCCGTCCCTCCCTCCCGTTGAGCAGTGCTTGGTGCCAACCTGGCAAGGTGTCGAACCGCCGCAGAATTGGAATTTGGGCGCACGTTTGGAGTGTGTGTGTGTGTGTGTGGAACCCTGTTACGAAGGGACGCACCATCAAAAGCAGGGGGCTGAGGGCCCGTCACTGGCACCTCAGCCAACGAAGACTGCTAGTGACAGGGCGTGAAAACGTACCTGCAGAGAGTCGCTCATGGGTCAGTTGTGTGGCAGCTTGGGACTCGGTCGTCGTTGCAACATTCAGTTACATGTCAGTGATGCAGTTGCCGAATTGTTTTTGGATGCTTTGGGTTGCAGTTGCCTTGTACAGCAGGATAACAAGCAGAACACAACTGATCAGCCTTGAGGCCAGACAGGTGCCGGAGCCCCTGAAAGCTTAATGCTTTCGTGATACATCAAGCAGTGCTTGAGAATCAATTGATGAGTGGCTGCGAGATGGATGCCTGAGCGTGTGCCAGGTAGTTGCAAGCTGGTCCTGTATTCGTTTATCGTGCTACCTGCCGCGGGGTCAGCCCGTACAAGTAGCTGTCAGGTGGGAAACGATACAGACAGCGATGCATTGATTGGTTCCCGAAGTGCAGCCGCCAGCTCCGACTGAAACATCAGCTCTGATGGTGTCGGCATCCGATTTCTTCTGTCGCGATGTTTTCTTCGTTACTGACTTCATGCCAGCTTTTGATGCCAGGTTTCATTGCAGGCGTTTTCCAGATCTGATGGAACCACCGGCTTTGCTTTCCGCAGACCACGATTTCAGCTCCGAGACAAAATCCCATAAGGATCGCCCTTAGAATCATGTCGTGGAACGGTGATCGAGACTGGTCCACTTCGTCATGGGCAAGTTCGTCTTGGGATAAGAATGGATCGTCGGGTTGGAACAATCGTGACTGGCAACGAGGACCCAGTAACTACTCGGGATCATCGCCACCTTCGCAATCGTCGGTGCCGAGTGGAAATGTTTCAACTCCTTCGTCTTTTGCCCCGCTTTTGGAGTGCCATGACACCAATCCTGTGTCGAACACGAAGTTCTTTCGAAACATTCAACCGACACCATGGTCCACAAAAAGTGGACTTGCTGGCAAGGATATCGCTAACCTTCGTGTGACAGAAATGACACGCAGGTTGAGATGCTTGTTGGACACCGTTCCTCAACGCCGTGGCTGTTTCAGCTGTCGGTCGGCAAGCACTGCGGGGCTGCGGCAGTTGGGTAAGACCTGCGAACTGCAGCTGCTTGATTAATAGAACATGCGCTGCAGGGCTGCGGCATTCTGTAACACTGTAAGACCTGCGAACTGCAAGCGCAGTCTTCTGCTGGGGTTTGAACTGCCCAACGGGGGCCACCCCTTTCTTTTTCTGTTTTCTTTTCTTTTTTGTACATTTGTCGTTTCAGAGTCACAGTTTTCTTTTGCGCAGCCGGAGGCCTTTTTCCAGCCCCAAGGGCGGCCTGCAGCTGCTTCCCTCTCTTTTTACTTGTTTAACTTTCTAATTTTTCGATTATGCTTTAAGGCTGCACAGCCAACCGCCAGCCCTCCTGCAGAGCCTTTTGTTTTTCTTTTTCTGTTTGTCTAGTGTGGCTAACCTGCACCTCTTTTGTGCAAGGTGCCGCAATGCCCATGTGGCTTCTTGTGTGTGTGGAACCCTGTTACGAAGGGACGCACCATAAAAAGCAGGGGGCTGAGGGCCCGTCACTGGTACTTCAGCCAACGAAGACTGCCAGTGCAGGGCTGAAAACGTACCTGCAGAGAGTCGCTCATGCGTCACTTGTGTGGCAGCTTGGGGACTCGGTCGTCATTGCAACATTCAATTACATGTCAGTGATGCAGTTGCCGAGTTGTTTTTGGATGCTTTGGGTTGCAGTTGCCTTGTACAGCAAGATAACAAGCAGAACACAACTGATCAGCCTTGAGGCCAGACAGGTGCCGGAACCCATGAAAGCTTAATGATTTCGTGATACATCAATCAAGCAGTGCTTGAGAATCAATTGATGAGCGGCTGCGAGATGGATGCCTGAGCGTGTGCCAGGTAGTTGCAAGCTGGTCCTGTATTCGTTTATCGTGCTACCTGCCGGGGTCAGCCAGTACAAGTAGCTGTCAGGTGGGAAACGATACAGACAGCGATGCATTGATTGGTTCCCGAAGTGCAGCCGCCAGCTCCGACTGAAACATCAGCTCTGATGGTGTCGGCATCCGATTTCTTCTGTCGCGATGCTTTCTTCGTTACTGACTTCATGTCAGCTTTTGATGCCAGGTTTCAGTGCAGGCGTTTTCCAGATCCGATGGAACCACCGGCTTTGCCATCCGCAGACCACGATTTCAGCTCCGAGACAAAATCCCATAAGGATCGCCCTTAGTGTGCGTGTGTGTCTGCGGCTAACCACGAGAGGCTGCGACGGCCGGTGATTTATGTCAGAAAGCACGACTTTGGTCGGAGCAGCGTTTGAACCCCGATGTGGCGAGAGCACGATTTTCAGAGCATGACATATCGCGGCTCGACGAGGCTAGCCCATTGGATCAACCTAAAAGTTACGAGAATCGGAAGCAAATCTGGTGATATTTGGTGCAAAGCAGGCGTGCATGACACAAGAAGCTCGCCTGAATGCGAACTGCTTTCCGTCTTCGCAATTCGTGCCTAATCCCCGATGCATGCAGCATCTGGTGATTCAGAGCTGTGGGAACAGAGATGTGCGACCGTAGTCGAGGGGGAGACGGCGACAGAACTGATCTGGTAGGAAAGAGCTGCGATTCCCGCCGTGTGTCTCCGGCAAGGCTTGGGATCAGGCCAAGGTCCTCCTGTCTGAGCTGATGAAAGTGGCTGCAGGGCACCTACACTTTCTAGACTTGCACATACACACAGAGACACTGCGTGGGACTGCGTGAGATGTGCAGGAGGCCTCCAAAGAGGAGGAGAAGGAGGAGAAAGATGGCAAAGAAGTGCAACCGTCAAAGCCTTGCCTTCGCTTCTGGCCCGGTGATTGCGGGGGCGAGTTTGCTGAGGCCTCATCAAATCATCCAAAAGAAGCTGGCAGTTGCTTTAGCAGTGATGGAACCGGACAAAGAGCTGCTGCCACAACTTACTTGAATAGTGCCAAGTAACTAGTAGTCCATGTGCAACCAGATAGCTGCAACAGCCAGGTGAGTGGATCCATTGCTTGGACCTCTGTGCCGCTTAAGACCTACTGCGAAGCGTGTGCTTGTTTTCTGTGCCTGAGTCCAGCATCTACATTGGGTGGATTGGTGTGATCGGTGTACTGAGACTGCAGTTCGTGGCAGCCTTAGCCGGGAGTGGGAACGTGAGAAATTTCCACGAAATCGCAGTGCTGAGAACTGCGAACAGCACACGTGCCCATAAGCTGCTGTGGCGTCAGCATGAGGCTCGGACTATAACGCTGGGTGAGGCATCGGCCTCATCGCACATGCAGCAGCCTGTGGCACAGAGTGACGACCACAGGATCCGGTGTTGTCCGAGCGGATGCCAAGGTGATCGGTGCCAAAGTGTACAAGCCAGTCAGCAAAGCAGAGCCCCTGATAGAGTCCATGGTCGCAGAGGTGTCCATCAGCTTCGCTCGGCGCGTAGGTGATTGTGGAAGCTCGGCAAGTGCCAGGAGTATCAAAAGTGGGTCCCGACGATAACGCGATGGATGTGCAAGTTCGTCGCCATCAGCCTTGCTTGGCCTCTGGCTAAGTTTGCGCAAAGTTTGTGTTCGAAGTTCTTACAGAGCTGTGTATTGTAGCACGAAAGAGAGCAGAGCCGGAGGTGGATTCAGAGGGTCATCTCCGCGGTTCACTCCGCGATCCGTGGCGGAACCATCTTCGCGGAGTACCTGGCACCACGACCGGGGGGGGGGGACCTGTAGTGTTATTGTAAGCCACTTCCTCCCTCGTTTCAAGAGACATGATTTAACAGCGGGTTGTGCATGGTTGTGCGATTGTTGCAGGTGGATTTCCTGCACGAGAAGGGCTATCTTCAAGTCGAACACAAAGAGACCTACATCGATGAGGCGGGAGAGAGACCACCACAGGAGGGCAGCGGGAATCAGAAGTGGCGGTAGGCCATTGGCTGGTCGATAGCTGTGTTGGGCTTCCTGACACAGCTCGCTTTAGGGCAAGGGCCTTCGGCCTTGCATGGACTTTAAAGCCTTGGACTTTAAAGGCTCTGGAAGCACTCTGAGGTTTCAGCTCCCCTTCCTGCTGAACCTGATCTTGCTTCCTGTTCAGATCCTGGAAGGCTTTATCGCCGGACTCCGAGTCTTGAGCTCAAGCTCCGACAGGAACGCCCGGACCACCGAGGTTTGGAGCGTCGGCGCTTGAGGCGGCGCTCGTGCTCGCGCGCAGGTCATGTGAAAACCCCTTGTTTTCCGGCCGTGACCTGCAGGGCACAACGAAAAAGCTGCCCAGAGTAAGCTTCTAGGTCTACTGCAGGGAGCCCTTCGTTTTAGGATGATTTGTGTTCCTGCAGGAGAACGAAAGTTTTTCTGTACTTAGATGTTGATCGCAGCCTGCCCGATGATCCCACTTTACCCGGCAGCCATGCAAAGCATCATCACATGCGAAGCTTCGCAAAGCCAGCGCAGCCAACGCCATACATCAGTCCTTGTCCTTATCTTGAGATTGCATCGCGGGATCCGGTCCAGCAGCCATGGGGAGTGGTGCTGGGAAGCACAAGTATGAGGATGCGACCTTGTCACTTGTCCTCAAGCATGCTTCTCCGGATTCTGTGTGAGCGGACTGGCAGGAAAAGACGGAATCCAAGACCGTCATTGTCGAGCCTAAGCCGGTACAAGAAGAGGCGGCACCACCAAAGTTTATGCGGTCGCTGTCTCCAATGCCTGCAGAGGCCTCCAGGGTTGCCAGGGTGAACATTGCCACATGTGATCACGTCTTGCCGCCCTGCAGCCTATGCTCCTTTGCGCGGACGTCGGGGGTACCAACACTCGTCTCCATTTGTTCCGAGTTCCGGACAGCTCTTCTGCATGTAAGTGAAGCGGCTTTGTCCCAGAATGTCTGAGACCATTGCAGTTGTAGACATTGCAGTTGTGAGAGGAGACCTACACGGCGTTGGTGCCACCAGAGTGCATGGTTTACCAGGCCTGCGGGTCAGAGCTCGGTCGCCAAGCTGGCATACATGAAAGTGCGCAGGCCAAGTACTCCAATGTTCAGTACGATTCTTTCACAGAGGCGGGCCTGGACTGGACGATTGCTTTTCTTGGTGCCATTCGTGAGCAGGTCGCGCAAGATTTCTTGAAGAAAGCTGCACACAGCACCTCGGTGGGGCTTGGAATGCCCGGTGCCCAAAACTCAAGACAGGGAAGAGTGCCAAGCTTTCTCGCTCGTGAGGCCTCCGCCTTACCTGGGCTGCTTTGCCGTGGCCGGCGTAGTCGTGGACAACAAGCCCGTGACTTGGGGGAGTTTCTGCGATCACGGAGCAGTTGTGCTTCTCGCAGGTGCAACCTTGTGAACCTGGGATGGAAGATGGATGGGAATCAAATTGCCGAGGTGCAGAGCCGATGTGAAGGTCTAGGGGACCTGAAGCGGGACTCAGGCTTCTCTTACTCTGCTACTCGTAGGACCTGGGAATGAGGGAGGTGTACCTGATGAACGATTTTGAAGCGCAAGGTGGGAAGCCCAGCCTTTGCTTCGGCAACCCGGCCTGAGGGTCGTGACCGAGGCTATGGCATCCTCACCCTGGACCACAAGACGGAGTGCGACGTGCTGCAGGAGCAGCGAGTTGCAGTAATCCCCAATGGCCTATGAGCCCTTGCCTTCGAGGAGGCGCCGGTGGTCCCCGGCGCGCCCATCGCGCTCCTGGGAGCCGGCTCGGCCCTCCCCAAACGAGAGCTCCAAGCCACTGCCGTCACTGCCGTTCCGGCCCAGGCACCGGCTTGGGCGAGGCCTTCATGACTACGGGCGAGAACGGTGACTACGAGGCCACGGGAGAGAACACATCGCATCCTTGCATGGCTTGGCTGCAAGACGAGACAGGTCTGGCCTTCGGAGGGTGGCCACAAGGCTCGGACGAGGACACTTCCTGCAGAACTGCAGACTTGCGAGAACTGGAAATAGGAGTTTGCACCTCGGCAAGAGGGCAGTACGAATCTTCAGACCGAGATGATGCAGTGCGCGCGAGAGATGCAAGCCCGGCTTTTGGAAGGCGATGCTAAAGCCAAAAGCCCCTGAACAGGTACCTGCAGATCCGCTTCAGCGCCAAGTCGAGAATTAGTGTGGAGCGCATCGTCAGTGGAAGAGGCCAACTCCATCTGAGCCTGGCATGCGCCAAGACGTCCTGAGATGCGTGCCGCAGGCATCGCCAACATCTACCAGTTCATGGCCTGGAAGTTTCCAGACAAGCTCAAGAAGGCTTGCCTTTATCAATTTCACCGCATCTGGTCTGCGGTGCTGCAAAGCTCGGCTGCGGAGTTCGGCAGGAGGTGCACTCCAGGTTTGTCAAGAACGGGTCTGGGCCTCGGCGGAGCATGGCATGGCGAAGCCTTCCGTCTGCTCCTTAAGTTGAAGGCAGGATCCTGCCGTCATCGTGGAGGCGAGGGACTTGACGGGTGGCTGACGGGTTTGGGGGGGCTCCTGCGAGATGCTGCCTCACAAGGCTGCCCGATCTGGAGAGAGCGAGCTGAGTCTGAAGACCATGGACCTCTTCGTTGGAGCCTACGGCTCCGAGGAGAGGGAAAAGGGGGTGAGGACGGGAGACAGACGAGGGTTGGGCCTGGGCAGGCCGGTGTCATGGCTCTGAAGCTGATGCCCTTCGGAGGCCTCTACGTCCCATGCTCACAGGGATCAAGGAGTCCTCGCCGGTGTTTTGACCTCACCAAAGCTGAGGTGACTGGCGGCGTTTCCGCCAAAACTCGTCTCGAGCCTACTGTCCTGCAGGCCTCCAATCAGGGGAGCTCTGCTCGCTGCCTCGAGCTGAGGCGACTTTATCCTGGGTGAGAAGGGGACGCCGTTGCTCGCTGAGCATTACTCATGGACCAGTCTTTTTTTCCAAGCATTGTGCTGTTCAGGGGATCCCGTTTCCACTCACTGCCCACCTCGTTTTGCTGAATGAGGCTATCTTGCCAAAGATATCTTAGGTGTCAGCCTCGCCTGCTCACCGCTGCATCATGAGCATCATCGGGTCTCCACTCCGCCCACCCCCAACGGCCGGCCACATGCTCATGATGCTGGCGCACGCTTTCGCGGCAAAGCATGGGGAAAGCATTCACAACATGGACTGCGCCTTAGGAGGACGCCTAGCTGAAGCTTTATACGCTGGATCATTCCAGCGGGCAGCAGCGCCATCCCGTCAAAGCTAAAAGGGTCACACGCCGGAAACTTCCTTTCTGACTTCAACATCAGTCCGTGCCAAAAGTGCAGTGATGCTCATGATGCTGGGGCAGATCTCGTAGCAATCCCGATGCTTGTGATGCTGGCTCAAGTTGATCGCGAAAGAGACAGTTAGAGGCAGTCGTGTTGCATTGCACGTGTCAGACTTAGAGACGGGCAGCCACTTTGTGATCGGAGAGGCACATTGGACGGCAAGGGTCATGGACGCTATTGTCTCAAAGGGTGGACGGAGACATGGCTTTAATCCCTGCTGAAGAAGCCGATCGAGGCAGGTCGTGCAGGCATGCCAAAACCTTGGAGTGGCGATGGGCAAGAGCCACATGCATGCCACTTTTGAGCGACTGGTAGATGCATGGTTGGACCCCGACATCCTGCCTGAATGGTTGCAGCATCACTGAGTCAAGACGTCCACGGCAACGGAACGAATCTACCACACCTACCAGGCCAGCGAGGCGAAGGGAGAGAGATGCACCTGGAGCCCAGGCAGGTCCACCCAAGTCCTTACCAGGACAAACGGGTGGGCCACTGACCAGGCAGGTGCAGACGGTGATGAGAATTCCTTGAGGACCAGCTCTGGCCGGACATACAGGTCCAGGAGCCCGAGACGGAGCCTGCGCCGGAGTTGCGGGAGGAGGAACACATGCCGCACCGAAGCATCTGAAGTTCGCCGGCTACGCATTGGGACCCATACGCCACAGGCCTATTCCCAGGACTCAGCGAAGAGAGGATAACCGAAAACATGGCCACAGAAGTACGAGTGGAGCAGGATCTTCGGCGGACCGGCCGGCACGCACAGGGGGGTCACCCGCTGCACTTGAACAAGGGGCTGGGGCAATGGACCTAGACACCGCCGTGCAAACAAAAAAAGCTTCCTTGGCCTGACGCAAATTTGGCCGGCTTCTACGGTCATGTGTGACGGTCAACCTGTCCTCCTGACAAGGGAACCCACAGATGAGATTATCCAGTACGTCCAGGCACTCGACCGAACCGGCCAAGCTCTTAATTATATATTTGCTGAGGTTTCGCGAATGTGCAAAAACCCAGGGGTCGACCTGGAGCCTGACGACGAAGGTGACACAGTCGATGTTGTGGAAGATGACAGGGTTGGCCTACTCCAGATCAGACGGGCTTCATGCAGCGAGAACAAGTGGACCGGCATGACCACTGGTGCAGAACACACTTGCAGAGGGAGCTCGGCTCGCAAACGGACGACCGTAAGAGGAGCCACGTACATCAGTTGAGGGCGGCGAAATTGTTTCATATTGTCGACCCGAACCACTGGACTGATGAACAAGACGAATTCTTCGCAATGTTGCAAGCGATGGAGGTCGGTGAGACGGTGCATCCCATCCAGCAGGACAACTCCTTGATCACACACTGCGGCGAGGAGTTATCTCACTTCATGCAGGGGATGAACACACCCATCCATATGGCAAAGGGGCCAGATATGTTCGAACAAATGAAGCCTGGGAGGACTGGGTGGTTCACGAGGAGACCCAAAGGCCGACGTCTTCAACGCGAGGGATTCGCAAGCGAGACAGGGAGGTCTCGAGCAGCGCGTCACATGAGGCGCCGCGAACCACGCACAGCTAGGAAAGTGTTCGAAGTATCGGGCAATCTGGTCATCCGACTGCAGGCCAGCATGGTTGATGAAATTTCCGAAGGTGAGATCGCTACTACAGTAGTTATGGAACCGAAGCAGGGATGCAGTGGAACACGGGCATCAGGCATGCAGGATCAACCTTCCGCACGACCAAGTCAACCGTCAGTGCACCAAGGCAAGTTCGAGGACATCGATTTCGACCAGTTCATTACGGCCAGTGAAGAAGTGCCACATAGTGACTCCGACCAGGTCATCTGCAGGTTTAGCCCTGTGGTGGTCGAGCATGCCGTCGACGAGGCCACCCAAGAGCTGCTGCAGCCGTGAAATCGAATCAGCAAGATGGTCACCAGGAAGGCGGAGACGATACATCTCGAGAGCGGCTGGTGGAAACAGGGTTGACAAGCGGTGTGACTGGGATGCCGGCAGGACCTCCTCGTGGGTGAAGATGATGGAGTACCTTGTGGAGCAAGGGAAGCATGGAGATCCCAGTCGAGCATGTTGGAAAACAAGCAGGGTGCACTCCGAGGATGATAGGGCCGGCCGATGTGGATCAGCAAGACGAGCCAAACGAGCAGCCTGGGGATGCAGCCAGCGAAGGGTCGTCTAGGGCAGAGACAGATTTCGAAAGCAAATGAATTGTCCGGCACGTCCCTTCTAGTCTAGAAGTTCCGAACTCCATGAAGCGGACGGAAGAGGCGCCCAAAAAACAAACCTCCTAGTTTCCCAAACTTCAAACCTCTGATAGGTTAAAACCCTCATGACATTAGCGGGCACTGGCGATTTCACCAATGCCCACGAACTGATGGGCCAAAACTTTGCAAACCAACTTTGGTCATGGCGAAACGGGCGAGAACGATCGTTTTTGCCAGTGCCCAAGAATCGTGGTTTGCGAGCGTCTGGTTTAGGTACAGGGTTCAGGGTTTGAGGGTTCACGGCCTTACGGTAGCATAGGGTTTGGGGCGTTAGGATTTGGAGAGGGGGCAGGGTTGAGCGCCCGCCGGCTTGCTGTTTTAGGGTTTAGGGTCTGTTGGGGATTGGGCATTGGGTTTCAGTGTTGGGTCTGGTTTGGGGCATCGGCATAGGGTCTCAGGGGTTTAAAGTGGACCTGCCAGCATTGACACGGCTTTGGCGGGGCTAGTTAGGGCCAGGGTCGGCAGGGGTTGAGGGAGTAAGGATTCAGACACTTTTGGAGGCTTAGTCAATAGGATTCAAGGGCTTGTAGGGTTCAGGAGCCCACTGGACATTGGTACGAAGGGTTTAAGACTTTTTATTCTGGGTTTGGGGCGTGCTGTTTAGGGCCTGCTTGAACTGGAGGTGCTGTAACTTGATATGTAAGGCTATTGCAGGTAGGCAGAGCGTGGGGCACAAGCCGTGCAGGCGCCCTGTCTCTCCCTCTCCTTTTATCATCTCCGGCCGGGAGGGCGCACACTAACTTCCCCACTGTACAGTTGACATGAGCTGATTCCTAGGCATGCCTTCATGGACGCCTTCTTGGACAAAGGGCGAGTTTCCACTATGCTGTGACTTGGCAGCACCTTGCCGCGCAGAGTCACGAAATAGGCGCTGCTAGGCGGAAGTCCGACGTAACTGCGATCTAAGGACGAGAGTTCCTGTACCCTCCTCGGCACACATCGCAGCCTTCGAAGTACGCAGCAAGCTGCAAGCTTTTCCAGTTTCTCCCAAATCTCGGAGACCGAGGTCTTCCTCTGCCGGGGCGAAGATATGGGAGAGCGCGGTGTGAAACTGAAGGCCGGGAGAGTTCGATCTGAAAAAACGAACTGTGATCCTCCGGTCAGGCGATGCGAATGTTTGCAGAGGCTCTGCAGCGGCGACAGCAATCTAAAGGACGTCAGCAGTACACCGGCTGACGCGGTTGAAACAGATGAGCCCTACCTTCACTAATCCCAGAATTCCACACAACTATAGCACACACGCTTCTGTTGCCCCGCCCCATGTGAAAAGCATTGTAGTTCCGATAGGTTTAGCGGCACTCCCTCAAGAGGGGAGATGTGCAGAATTTGATTCATGCGGCCTTCACCGACGAAGTCGGAAGGCAGTACGGCGTACCTGCCAACCCAACCTCTTGATACCTCTTGCTGCGGGAGCCATAGGATGCTCAGATGCACCCTGAAGTGTCTCTGTAATCGAACAGCTCTGGGAGATGCTGCCTTCAAGCACATCTCGTGCCGAACTGGAGCAGAGGCAAAAGAACATGTGTGATTTGCCGTAGAGCGCTGTTCGCTTCGGCACCTGTCCCAACTCCGTCTCGGCGTGCAGCTTGATCCACGCGCGGTCCAGGGTGAATTGTAACCTCCAACACGTTTTCGGTTCCTGCTGATGACCGAGTATCCTGTACAATCAGACATGACATATCATATCAGTTCTGGAAGTTCTACCCGATGGCTTTGAGTGCCGCATGGCGACTACCGAGGCCGAGAACAAGGCAAGTGACAGTAGCAGTCTGTTGTCAGAGGGCACCTTTGCCTGGAGACGTCGAGGTCTCTCTGCAGAAGGGTTCTGGTGGGAGGCGCAATTGGGCAGAGTTCGCCGAGCATGGGGAAGATTGTGACAGCCTGAAAGGTCTGAGCAGCTCGGCAGTTCGGGGTAGCTCGTCATCGCAGCTGCGGCTGGATGCGACGCGATGCTGGCTTGACAAGATTGTCATTGGCCACCTGGATGCAGCTAGCAAGACCATTAAGAATTAAGAGCTTTGGCGAGAGCTACGTTTCGTCAGCAACTGGCAGGTTGCACTGCACTTTGTTCTAAGGCGAGAAACTATGCCCATTCGCCTCGTCTGTGCAGGAAAGGCTTTGGATTCGAGTCTTTCCCTTGCCCATCTGTGCTCGCCACGTAGCTACGCCTCAGCCACGGAGGGGAGCAAGCTTCGACTGGTCGCCAGCCGGGCGCAGGACGCAGAGGTCTTTGCCCGCCCTCAAGCACTCCTTCGGTTTCAAGTGATGGGAGCGCCTGAATGCATTCACGGAGCGTGTAGATGCAGCTATATGCTAGTATGCGAAACGTTAGCAGGGTAGATTTCCTCGACTTCTCCGAACCGGAGCTTCGTCCGAAAATGAATCCGGCCCGCCCGACCATGGCCAGGCGGTGATCGCAGAAGTCTCGTCAGAAGCCGCACTGCTGGTTGGACATGCCGCGAGGATCACTGGTTGCTTTGCTGCAATCCTGGGTACTCATAGTGAAGAAGGGAAAACTTGTGTGATTGTCAGTGATTTTCGATGGATGTGAGGTAAGGTCCCAGGCCGGAGACGACTCTGCTCGTGCTGGACGCCTCTTTGAGCGTGGGGCTTAGAGACTTGAGATTGGTTCAGCACGAGGGAAGCTATCTCGACTTCAGGTTGCGCGGCACAGTGGCAGGAGCCCGTCTCAGAACATCGGGAATGGTAATATCATGCATGTTGTTGTTTGCTCTCGGGTTGCCGTAATCATGTCTGTGCAGCGACCTGAAGCATGCAAATGCATGCAACTGCCTGCTGGATGTTTCCGTTCACAAGCTCGTATCAGGGTGAATCGTATGTATCCTTAACATATCAATGATCGAAGTTTTTTGAATGTGCCTGTTTCAACCCACCTTTGAAATAGTTGTAATGTGAGATCCACTCCAGGACCTCGTTCGTTTGTCAGGCGCTCAGTGCAGTTGAAACGGCAACTGCAGAAGAGCAGACTCTGTATAGGAACGCTGACAGGCAAAGGGTGGGGGGACTTTGCGTCCAACTTTCGAAAGGAAGAGCGGGTCTGAACTCCGAGGGAACAGTCCCAAGCACACCGAGCCGAGGTCATGGCGTTTGCAGGCAGAAGCCGTTTGCCAACAAGGCGGTTTCCGGGTGTGAGTTGCTCGACGGTCTGCACGTTTCTGGTGCAATTTGCCGAAAGGCTTCCAAGACTTATTGCAGATCGCCAGGGCCCTGTCGCATGGCCGAATGCCGTGGGCGAGCTATTTTGGAGTTCGCTTTGGCTTTCAGGTGCTCTTCCACCCGTTGGCGATGCACAGCATCTACTCGGAGGGCTTCCCCGACGCAGCCGACTTTACGATCCGCGCGCCCTTCCCCACCATTCACCTGCTACGAGCCTTGGATATGCCAATGTGCCCCGGTGCTCAGCGTGGCTTGACCTGAGCCAGCCGTGAGAAGCCGAGGAGAGGCCGACGTCATGAAGGCAGCACCTGCCTCACAGAGGAGCCGAGGCGCTTGCTTTGCCCTTGCACACGATGCTCTAAGGTCCAGACCTATCCGGACACAGGTGAGATTCCGGTCCGCAACAAGGCAAAGTTGCGCGACCAGGGCTTGGAGTTGTGCCAGGAGCGCTTAAACGCTTGTTTGGGCGACGGCACAAAACAAGGAATCCGTGCTCTTTGAGTTTGAGAGCCAGTCGCTTTTTGAGGTTCTTTTTCTTACAGGCATATGCAGTCGGCGACCTGATGGCCCACAGCTCCACAGAGCGGTGGATACGGGGTTGGAGTAGGGTTTCAGAACCGCAGAGGGGGCCATGAAAGTTTGCACCCTCAGTCGTACTGATGCCCATAGGATGCCGACGACATCCTGCTGTCAGCTCGCGATACTATTGCAAACTCTATTGATCTATTGCATCCGTCCGCATAGTTATACTTAATCTTGGCTAACTGCAGACATGTTCTCGTGTCTGCATCTTTTGTTACGAGTACCCACGCAGTCTCTTTGCCAGACACTTACACACTGCAAATCCACGCCGTCACTCGTCCTGCGCATGCCTCAAGATGCCTTCAGGCATCTGCTCCGAGTTTCACCCCTGTTTAAGCTTTGGCAATACACCCCTATGAACCTAGTGACCTAGCGATGCATTCGTCCCCGCCGATTCGCGCGCTTCATGTGTGCTTCGTTTCTTTATCACATGTGTCACGCCAGAACCCGGCTGCATCACAACTCCATCCGCGCACGATCGGAGATGGGTGCCCTGAAATCTTTTTTAACCCGGAGGGATGAGCACGAAGATCACCAATCGTAAGTAAGCTCGGGAAGGCCACAAAGCAGGCGAAGCGATACTGTGGGTGCTTTCATGATCAAGAAACGCTTCGGTGTAGCAGGTGGTTTTAAGCAAGCAGGATTAGTATGTCTCACCTGAGAACGGATCGACAGATCTGGGAAGCAGTTTGCAGTAAAACCCAATGGCGTTTGACGACAATGGAACGAGGAGTGCTGGTGCATGTCACACATCAATCTACGTGGTGCTCGTCGTTTCCTTCGGCACCGTCTTGCATCCCGAGCTGAAGGCCTTCTACAGACGGGGACATGGAGATATGAAGAACACGGTTTCTGTCATTGACGCTGCATTGGCGACCTTGTTCTTGGCGGCTCTTCGCCTTTGCTCAAGGTGTGCCTCGGACAGTCCCAGGCCCATTCCGTTCTGGCAGAAGCTGAGATGGGCGGCGCCGCCCGGAATCTTCGTGTTTCTGGTCATCACACTCTCTACCTGGGCCAACTTCTTGAGCTACAAAGCCTTTGCCATGCTGGGCCCCTGCGAACTGATTTTTGTTTGGATCTTCGCCCGCTTTTTGCCGGAGGAGAGGCAAATTCCTCTTTGTAGGGATCTTCCGGCAGTGATCCTGACGGCCCTTGGGAGCGTTCTCTTCAGTATCGCAGAAGTCACCGGGGCCGGTCCCCCGGGCAGCACGAGCACGAGCACAAGTGCCTGGGCGATCGTGGCCTCGTTGCTGTGCAGGGCATGCCAAGCTCTCATGACCGTTTCCCTGCGGAGCTGCTGCGTCAATGTAGGTCGTGTGGGCGTTCTGGAGATCACTCTCCTGAAGCTTCTCGTCACCTCTCTTCTGTGCCTGCCGTATGCGCTCCTCACGGAGGGATTGGAGCCGTGGTCGACACTCGCCGACAAAGAGTTTTGGACAGACTCGACGTCCGCGTTTTTGCTGCTGGGAAGCATCTTCATTACCACTGGCTTTCAGTGGGCCACCGTTGGCACGAACGCCGGTCTCAGGTCGCCTCTGGTCGCTGTGTTGCTGGGCACTTTGCAGCCGCTTACCGCCGTAGCTTTGGTGCTGGCCTTCAGCAACTCGCCCTTCTGCCAGGCACTGGGCCTGAAGCGGCGGGACTCTCCGCTGGAGATTGCTGGAATCTGCTGCCTCATCCTGGGCCTGCTGGTAGGCGGCCTATGCAGCCTGAACTCCCTGAAAGAAACCAGACCGCTCGAAGTCACGTCGGAGCTCCGAGACCAGACCCTGGAATTCCTCGACCACCGAAGAGCTGCCGCTGGTATCTCGGCCGGGCGCGAAAATTGAGGCGGAGCCCTTCAGAGCTCTGATCGTCCTCGTGAGGCCCTTGCAGACAGACTTAAGCCCGTTGATCGCGTAGACCACATCGTCGCAGCCGACTTGTGGCAGATTTGCCTTCACCCGGAAAATTGTGAAAGTAAGTTCCTAAGCATTGACTGAAAGCCTTAATCTTGAAGCGTAATCATGCTTAAGCATTCTAGGTGCAATCATATGTAAGCATGTTGCCTGTGGCTCGAATCTTGGAGTAGCGATCCCCGGTTTGTCTGCCACGGTGTAATCCCAACAATAACAGATCATTAAACTGACTCCGCTTTTTTCGCAGAGGAGTTTAGTAGTACAGTAGCTTAGGTCTTAGGAACGGGAGCCTTGAGTGCAAGGTGCGTAATAGTGCTCTCATTGTTGCACCTGCCAGATGGCTTTTCAACGGGGGGAAGGTAGAACTGATATAATCAATTACAAGTATTGTATGACTGTTGGAGGTCATGTATTGAAATGGTCGGTGGCATACTCGCATGCCTTATCTTGGGAAAAGAATTCCAAAGTACAAAGAGTTCTTTGTCTGCAAGAAGGAAATAGATGTGAAAGCAGTTTCCGGAAATAGCTTCGGACAAGAAACTTGAACGTCTGAGGCTTGAGACTCGTCATAATGCTGCGCAGGGCCGCCATTCCCTTACGACAGGCCACTCCAGCGCTACCACGACATCGTAGGGTCGGTAAAGGAATCCTTGCTTTGTACGATCTTTGCTTTATATGAAGCTGGACATGAGCTGTCCACTCAGAGCGAAATGCAACCGTCCGCGTGCTGAGCTTCAGATTCCCTTCTTGCAAGTTTGTTCATGTTGCCCCCGCAGCCTGAGACCGAGACCACACTGGTAGGTGTGTACACGGAATGCTTGGTGCAGCTGAGGCTCATGTTATGTATCCTCTCACCGGTCGTTCGGAGTAGAGTGGTGCAAGTTGATGGAGATGGCAGCAGGTCATATGCACCTTTTTTTGCAACGGTGCAACATAAGCCAAATAGGGTGTCTTCGAGTCCGACGACGATATGCGGCCACCCCATCGCAGGTTTTGTCGCCGAACCGTGCGATGCATTCCGCATATCCCAAAACAAAAAATCAGCGAAGCATCATGAAGCACAGCATTGCCTAACAGCGAAGCAGGTCATCGCGTGTCCGCGCAATCAGAGTGGACCGTCACGACAACAACTCGGACCGTATAGCGCAACAGGCCCACGTGCCGAAGCTGCCTTGGGTAGAGCGCGGGAGAGTCGACGACTCACCTGCATGCTGCAGGATGTCCGCGGTTGTGCGAGGCTGTCGAGCCCTCTCCCCCCCTGCGATGGGAACGACTCCTGCAAATGGAAAGCCTCGTGGAACCGCTGCAGGCACGCAGTGTTTTGCGGTTCTCAGGCATTCAGATCTTGAGTCAGTGACATGACATGCGTTAGAACTCCTGCACTGCACTGATCTTACTTTGGAGTAGACTCGCATTCGATAGCCTGTGCTTCAGATCCACTGCTTCAGATCCAACCATTGGCTGAGAGCAAACCCAAGACTGAGAGCCCCCTGCTAGGGCTAGGGCCCAGTACGCCGTGCAGCCTTTGGAGCGGCTCCGCCTCGCCATGGAGGACGACTTGGCAGCTGCACTGGCCTTGTCCATGGAGCCCAATCAGGCCACCGCCGGGCAAGAGACTCTGAGATACTCCACTTTTGTTGCTCCTGTGCAGGCCCACCAGGTTAGTCCGGCTGCTGCTGCGGTCACGACCCTGCAGGCGAACACTGACGCGCTTGCAGAAGCGGGCTCCCTTGCAGTGCTATCAACCCTGCTCAACAACCTCGCCCTTCGGCTTTAGCTTCTCTTGCATGTGCATAGACCGTTCGCCAATGCGATGTCACTCACTCCCGAGGTGAAGAACCCAGCTGAGGACTGTCTGCAACCATTGAATGGTCGTGTCAGCGGTGCTTCGCGTAACTACAAGATGATCTCCTGACGTCGCTACCACCACACCCTAAACCTCGAAATCGGAATGGGGCACCCGTAGGGACATTGGGGAGGCCCAGACTGAAAAGGGTGGAGACGCGGTGGAGGGCTGGGCAGAGCTCGGAAAGTGGCAGGCGGGCTGGGACTGGCACGGGGGTAGGGGCAGGGAGTTAAATGTGCCCGCACCATGGAGTGGACAGAGCACGGGCTCAGGAGAAACAAACAGAATGTGGCGCATTTTCACGGACAAGTTCTGAGGGCGGATAGAAGGCCAAAAGGTTGGAGGAAAAAGTGTGGGAACGCCCTTGGCGCTCGCCCCCAGCTTGCCGGGGTCGGCAGATGAGGAGAAGTTTCGGAAGGTGAAACTCGCCAACCCAAAGATCAGCCAGGTACCCAGACCGGCCATCAGATGAATCATGAGGCAAGGGTGAATCCTAGCGGTGTCGAGTCGCCAAGGTAAGGCCTTGAGCTGTCCCGGTGCTGAAGACGTCCTCCTCGCCGCCGGATTCTTGAAGACTGCAGAGCATTTGGAGGCCCTCGCCGCAGATGCTTTCCTCTCTCCCCTTTTGCATGGTCATGCGTGGTCTATACCAGGTCCCCACAGAGAGGCCGGCGGATCAGGTGAAGGCGTGCGGGCGGACTGCGATCCTGAAGCCTCCTGCTTCCGGAGCGGCTCTCGCCACAAAATGCGCAGCGCGCCGCAGGCCTCCGCGGAGGAGGTCCTCGAGGCCTTGGCCGTGCTCAGCGGCGACTTTCTGCTCTCCGCGGAGTTTCGGGCAGAAGGCGCAACCGCTTCGCTGCCACCGTGCAGTCGCATTGGCGGAGGTTGCTTGCCAAGCGCGCTTTTTCTTTTTGCTTGTCGAGGCGAGGTTCGGTGCGTGGTCGCGCTGAAAGGCGGCTCAGTGGCCTTCGCTGGAATGGCAGCTCAGTGGCAAGCATTGCACCTTGGAGCAGAGCACGCTCTAGCCCAGCCCGAGGATAACCTGGTTCACCTTTGTGATCCACCCAATGGAGTGAGAGTTCTGTCGGGGCACCAGCGCAGAGCTGGAGTTGACGGCGTGCTTGCTCTCTGCAGCGGCGACGACTCCGTGGACCTGGTCTCGGCGGGCCGCGATG